GGTTTGTACATGAGATGCCAAAGCAGACAAAGAAAACCCAAATGTGAGTGACCAGTAACCGAAGAAAAACATCAATATGTACTCTCTTTCTTTTACATTTAGATTAGCTATGGTCCTCATGTAATCTGACCCTGGCAAGTCTTAACCATCTTCTTGGTTCCCATTTGTGGTGACATTTCATACTTGGTCACAACTGATGATTGGGTAATTTCCATGTCTTCTTTTTTTGTGAAGTTCTTCTTACTCAGTGTTCTTGGGGCTTTGACGTATATATGACTTTTTCTATCTGACCTGGTTTAGTAGCTAACCATGGCTAATCCTACCACCACCCCTTTATACAGACCTAAGTCCTCATGGATCACCCTATATATTCATCATCCATGGTGTGCTAAGTTCCCATCCAACAACTGAGGTTCCACATAATAATACAGCAAATATGTATCTGCACACAGACCTTCCATTGTGAAAATTTCACTCTGTGATTAGAAGAGCACAATGATGGGTCATTTGTGGTGTGTAATAACCTTACTGCCACGTCTTTATATAATCTACGTTTCCTTTATCTGGACCGTCTCATAAAGAACAAGGTACCTGGAAGGGCACTTAGCCCCAGGACTACAGTCTGTGGCTTGTGAGCACAGGGAAAAAGGCAAGAGGGATAGTGGCACAGGGTGGATGATAGTTACTAGATAAGTTACTGGAGTAGTTGGAGTCTCTGGGTTGAGCAAACAGTTAACTCACTCAGCTTCTTGTCCACCCAGAGGTGCTTTGAAAGTAAGATCTGGAGATCTACTTCTGCAAAGAATCATCCATTGAATAACCTATGGAGCACCGTTCTGTTCTGATACGGGGTTGTATTGAGATGGAATCAACTAGACGACAGCTGGTTTTTTTAGAGCAGTCAGGGCACAGCCAAGCATAGAAACAAGGATGCGCTCTGGAGCGCAGTGGACACACTGAACCAGTAGCCACAACTGTGTTGTCAGGAAATGACGTGAAGTGGTCATAGACCGAGCAAGAATGCATATAAGAAGACTAGGTATCAGGCTGGCAGAGCCTGGGTAGACAAACAGAAAAACGTGAGGCAGGCACAGATACCAAAGAGGAGGCTTAGAGGCGGGATGCACAAGCTAAAAATAGATTATTTGGACATCTAGCGAAAGCTTTCAGCACAATGTATCTAAAGTCTTCCTTCTCATATTCCCTCAACCCATCTTCCTTATTGCTGATAATGGCCTTGGTACTGTTACATCCAGTCACCCAGACTTGAGATCTCAGTCATGTTTGCTTCCCCCGCTCTGTCCTTGTTTCTAGTCAGTTACTATGTCTCTCTAACAGTTCTACCTCTTGTGGGAAGGCCTTCGGGTTCAAACCCTGGCTCTCCCACATAGGGTCTGGGATAACATCACTTAACCTCTCAGAGTCACCTGTAAAATACAGATAACGAAACCTGTCTTACAGGGTTGTCACGAGAATTAATGGTGTAGGGGATAAAACCCTAATTTCCTACCAGCCAGATTAGTGCAGGAGTCTAGAGCTCGGATTCTTGCCTCCAGTTTAGCTTCCCTACCTCTGCCAGTTTGATTTTCCTGACGACACAGCTCTGATCACATTCCTTCCTCAAAAACCTTTAAGGCATCTTCATCATCTATTAGAATAAAGCCCCTATTCTTATCCTGGCTGTCCACCATCTGGCCCCAGCCTAGTCCTAGCTCCATCCCCTAACACTTGCCTTCATATACCTTGTGTTCCAGCCAAATTAAACTACTTGCTATTCAGTACAGGCCTCATCCCAGTGGCTTTGCTCATGCTTGAACTTGTTCTTTTCCACATCTCTCAGGCTCCAAATCCTTCTCGTCTTTCCAGTCCCAGTCCAAATGCTACCACCTCGATTGCATCTCCCTGTCACCCCTACCTCAGTCCCAGGCTTCACTAATGTCTTTCTCCTCTGAACTTCCATAATTCCTTCTCTCTTTCCATGCCTACTGCTTTATGCTTTGTGTTATGCTTTATGTTGGGTACGTGATTTGTTTTACCTTATATTCTGGGTTCTGGGGAACTCTTTCTAAGCCTTAGAAAGTACCTGATATGTTGTAAGCAATTAGTTAATGTATTTTGATGAGTGAACCAGGCAAGGGGACAATAACAAGCTGATTAAGAGTTGACAAGTCCATTGAAACTGAAAGGACAGGAAAGCAGCTGCATCACTGTACCACTCTGGCTTAGAAGATCTGAACAGCAGGTACTTCTCTAATGTAGCCAAGAGCTTGTATGTGGTTCTTGTTAAGGTGGGAAGGCAAGGAAACTCATTTGAGTGGCTGCTATATGCCAGTCACTGTTCAATGTGTTTTACGTGTATCTGCTCATTTGAACCCTGATTAGATCACATTTTTCTCCTCAGTATTCTCCATTGGCTTCTTTTATGCTTTGTATAAAATCCAAACTCCTTAACTAGCCTCATGGGATCCCTAAATCTGGCCCCTGTTTTCTTAGCCAGACTCACACTGCACTACCTGCTCACCTTTCCGTCTTCATCTCTTACCCTCCCTACTCCACCCCCTTTATTAAAGCTTTGCTCACACTAGCTTGTTACCAGTTGCTGTTGAGTTGACTCCAACTCATAGTGACCCCATGTGTGTCAGAATAGAATTGTGCTCCATAGGATTTTCGATGGCTGTTTTTTTTTTTCAGAAGTAGATTGCCAGAACTCTCTTTAAGGTGCCTCTGGGTGGACTCGAACCTCCAGCCTTTCAGTTAGCAGCCCATCGCATTAACAGTTTGCAGCTAATGAATCCCAAGTTTATAAGTTTTTCCTTTTCAGCCTTAAAACCTCGTTATTTAAATGATAAAAGCAATGGCTAGTAATACATTGCCTTTGTATGGTTCTTTATACTTTTTCAAAGCACAATCCTATGTAAATTCATCTGATCTCATTTCAGCCCATAATTCCTTCACATGCTTTTTTCAAATATAAGCTTATAGAGGGAACGAAATGCCAAGAAAACACAACAGTTTATCAAATGAACGTCTTTGCTCCAAACGTCGTGATGCTAGTTGTGGGCCTAGCTTGTACCTTCCTTTAAACCTTAGATGTGTTCTGAAAAGTTTTCCTCAAATAGAGTTTTGTTAATCACCTTCTCTTTAAAATGTGCTGTGAGGTTTCTTGGACCTTTGGAGAGAAACAAGAAACTGGTAGTTGTAATAACCACTGTAGGGAGGGTTGACTGGTGGTTAGGAATAGAAGACTTTGCACTATATACCCTTTTGTACCTTTTTGAATTTTTTAACCACGTGCTTATAATATCTGCTTAAATTAGGAATATATATATGTACTCTGGGAAACTGCTAT